TTTTTTTTCGGGAATTTTGCCCTAGAACCGAAAATACCCCATCGGCGTTGTTGACAAATTGATGACATGATTGAAATGGTGTTATCGTCTGCACTTGAGCAATTTCAAGCTCATCCCCAGTGGTTCTTTGTCCCCAATCTCCACACACAGTTCACACATATGGAAATCAATTTGTACGGTGACTGAAAATGATGTACAAACGACTTTAGGTGAACTATTGAATGTAATTCAAGGGCCAGCCGAACAGTTCAACACAGACGGGCGCGCACAGTGCTCGGGGTGAGGATCAATTTTCGCTGCTTTAAACTGCTGAGCACACACGCAGAGAAAATCCATAATTAGAGCAGTTATCGAGTCGAATTTCATTAACGGTTCCATTTGAGAGCGTAGACCATACAAATGACTATTCAAATTAGGAAGGTGCTGTGTCGATGACTTCAATATTTCTAATTGGATGTCCAACAAATTACGCAATTATCGAATAAAAGAAGAAATATCTAGTAAAGAAACTGTAATTGAGCGTTCCTTTGCTCAAACACTGTATCGAAGACAGCCATAAACCCAATCACATTTGTCGTTCTTCTCCATTGTCAGAAAACTACTTGCCGTTACAACTTGATCATCTGATGCCTAACGACCACGAACATTTTTCCAATTATTTCATGGCGTCGCTTCAATTGTTGTCGAACTTTGAAAAATATTTTCACTTGGTGCTACCACATCAAATGAAACATCATTTATATGACCGAAAATTTGAATTGGCCATTTTCTTCACCGAACAAAGAAAAGAATACGACTCAAGCCCATCACAACATTCGATCTTAATCGCTTCCATTTACGAATGCGTTTGTCAATCTGACTAATTGCATTCTCGAGTGCAATGAAAATACCCAAAGAGCCATAGAGCCATACAGAGAAGCAAACGCAACGTGTTATAAATTTTTTGGGTACAAGTAGTCGCGTCCGAGAAACGGCGATGGAGATTCACATCTTGCGGCCGAATTAGAAGGTGAAAGAAACAGAAGAAAGTCTATAAAAGCAATAAATTATATTATGCATTTTATGTTCGTGGGACATTTCATTCTCGGCTACTCTCGTTCTATCCGTTTCTATCTCGTCATTTATTTGCGCTGCATGTTGACAGAATGCGCTCGTGCACATTAATCTTGACGCATTTGATACAACAATGCCTAATGGTAAAAAAAATAAAGACTTTTCTTTTCAAATCGAATATCGACGAATCCAAGTTTTTTTTTCTCCAAAATTAAAGAAATTCTCGCGAGATTTCTTCAGAAATTTCCATTTATTTGTTATGTGTCGTGTCCCACTGTACGTATGTAATCGGCCAGCGATGAACTCTTCGCATCGTCTATGTCAACAAACATTAAAATAATCGGGTTTAATGCCATAGTATTATAGCAGATGCATTCAAAATTCATCGTATGTGCTATTGATAAACCCGAGTCTGACACAATTGTTAAATTGCTTTGAATATTCTTCATATGAGTAAAGAAGAGAAAACGAAAACAGAACAACTAAACGGAACCGACCAAACAAACAAATCGTGTAGGAAAAAGAGTTAGTAATAACATACTTCATGTCATTATGTAAGCCCCTTTTGATTGCATCCGTCAATGCAATTCCTTCTCAATTGGAATCACGATGGAAATGACGTTGTCATTGAAACGAACACACACAAGTGCATATTTATTATCACTGTGACAATGTCGATAAGATAAACATGCAACAAAAGCACGTTTCACTTCGCTGTGGCACCGTAAATCATTTCAGTGTAATGTATTCTCCGCCACTCGCTCGACCATTCGCGCGCGTACATAGTGAGCGTACCAAATAAATCACAATTATATTGATTTTGTATCGATAATTATGCGAAAATCAGCACTGGAATGCCCGATCGTTTGGGATTTCTCAATTACTCGGCGCAAACGAATCACGCAGGTGATAAATATTAATTAAAAGATATTATTTATTATTTACACCGTAGTATTTACCAAATCCAAATAACATGACACTTGATTAATACAACGAATATTTCGTCGCTTCATTTCTTTTTGTTTCATTCAATTTTCAGTGAAAATCGATAGTAGTGCAGTGCATGGGATACACATTTTTCATTCCATTGAAAAAAAGGGAAACATATTTTTTTAGTCGACATTCTTCTCGGCACTTGATTTCAATAGAATGGCGAATTGTGTGCGTATCGTAAAATGAATGGTGTGTAATTTGTTTGAGTTGTCATGCTGCAGAACAAAAGTATCTCTTTATTCTATCCGTTTCCATGGACGACGTATCCTTGGTTTCTTTCATCAATGAACATTCTCGAGAATGAAAACACACACAATTTTCGATCACATGCCACATAAATGGTTTTCTTTACACTTGAATTGTGAATGGCGGCCGAAACAAAGGTGAATTGTCAAATAGAAATGCAATTGATTCAAAAGTAAATAGCTTCGAGGCTTCACATCATGTAATGCAATGAAGGAGAAAAGAAAAGTAATAACAGAGTTTTTTTTTCCTGGCAAAGATCCGTGTGAGTTTTTAGAGGAAAAAGGAAATCTTCCTGGAAACGAGGTGTTTACATTTTGCCGAACGAAATTTCATCGTTTTAATCTACTTTTTTTTGCTTTGCAAAAAAGAAAGGAAGCAACAAATTCCATGAATGTAATGTACAATGTGTACTTATGAACTTATGCAGTTGTGATGCTTGTGAATGACCTGCTGTTCCAAGGCTGTGTTTCCTCTTTCTTTCTGTCTCCCTCTCTCTTACGCTTTGTGTCTATTCATTAATGCGTGATTTACGATCTGGTTCATACTAAGCATGCGACATTCCGCACGGAAACAAAGTATTTAATCGGTTTCAGCATTCTTTCTAATATTGAAATCTCGTTTTGATCAGTGAGAGAAAAAAAAACGAGCAAGCGACACACACACACACACACACACACACACAGAGAGAGAGAGAGAGAGAGAGAGAGAGAGAGAGAGAGAGAGAGAGA